TCTGGGAAGGTGAATGAGCCAGGGCTGCCTGTGTGTTTGGCTTGCTGAGTGTTTGTTTGGTGGACTGTGTGTTCGTGTGTGTGCTCTGAGGAGCTGGTGATGCTGGGTTATTGCTGCCTGAGTCTGACAAAAGCCCTAACAAGGGGGCAGAGCCAGTCCAGGCCCAGGAGGGTATAAAGGAGACTCCCCGAATGACTAGGGAGTGTGCAAACAGGGGCCGCAAACAGGGCAGTTTGCAAGTCAATATGCAGGTCAATTTTCCACCCCACTCTTTGAAGGGGAGCCTTTCAGGTAAGTTCTTTCTTCAATTAAGAGTAACTAACCTATGTATATTTAGCATAAGTAGCTCACGTCATTAGAGCAGTACTTAAGCCCCTTGTTTAACTAGAGTCCAGAGTGAGGGGGAGTTTGCTAGGGAGTTTGCCTAGAAACCCTCTCACCTTCCTTCACTTTAAGCTTGGTGAGAGGAAGCAGGTTAGCAGGGAAAAGGGAACCTTTTGGGACTAAGGAGCAGCCAACAGGCCAGCTTAAAGGGGCGCTTGCTAGGGAAGATCTGCTTGGAAAGAGGAGCAGGAAGAGAGAGGCATGAGATTGAGGTGCAGAGAAATGGCTGGAGAACATCTCAATGCCAGAGACACTGCCACTGATAGCTCTCCCTCTATTTGCATCCAGGCAGGACCGTTTACTCTCAAGATTTCCACCCAGGTCCTGGTTTGGCGCTGTGGAGACTACAGCTTGCAGGTTCCCTCCAGTGACAGTGAGGTCAGGGAGTGCCTGTGATGTGAGCGGTGCCTCCTGGAGGTGTCTCTCAAGGAGCAGGCAGGAGGGCTACAGGAGGAGGTGGCGAGGCTCCAAAGCATCCTTCACCATGAGGACTTTGTTGATTCGATGCAGAAAGAGACCTCTATGACTGTGGAGGAAGGACTGCCAGAGGCAATGCTAGAGAAAAAAGAGGATGTGGACTCTCAGGAAGGTGGAAACTGGAAGCTTGTGATCTCTGGCAATTCCAGTTTTGGCTGGCGGCACTTCTGGGAAAACTAGAAGTGCTGCTGATGCTTCTCTCCATGTCCCGCTCCCCGGCCAGTGCCAATCTTGGGGGGGGGGGGCACTGATCAGGGCTTCTTTCGGCCCCCACCACTCCCCAGCTGGTGATGGCCAATCTCAGGGGGAGGCACAGCCAATTTTAGGGGGTGCACGTGCACCTGTGCGCACCCCCTACGTGTCGCCAATGTCTCAGGAGAACTGCTACTTGACTGGACCCCGGATCTGAGATGTCACAGAAGGATTGCCAAGACTCATCTGGCCCTCTGACTACTACCCCATGATGCTCATCCATGTGGGCACCAATGATACTGCCAGGGGTGACCCTGAGCAGATGAAAAGTGACTACAGGGGTCTGAGTGCAAGGGTGAGTGGGACAGGGGCTCCTCTATTCTTCTGGCAAAGGGGTTGGGCCTGGGCAGGAGTGGATGTATCTTGCAGATCAGTGCTTGGCCATACAGATGGTGTCACCAGCAGGGCTTTGGCTTCTTCAACCATGGGATGTTGTTCTAGGAAGAAGGGTTGCTAGGAAGAGACAGGATTTACCTGATGAAGAGAGGGAAGAGCATCATCATAGACAGACTCACTCACCTGAGGAGAGCTTTAAACTAGGTTTACCAGGAGATGGAGATGGGGTAAATGGGGAAGTGGGTGACCTGGAGGAAGCACAAGTGGGTGACCTGGAGGAAGCACAAGCAAGAGGGGGCAATAGGGGAGGTCTTATTCTTCCTGAGAAAGTAGGACAGTTGGCTAGTTACCTCAGGTAACTAGCCAATACATGAATGCATGGAACCTGGGAAACGAGCAGAAACAATTGGAAGTACTTGCACAATCACAAAATTATGATGTAATTGGAATAACAGAGACTTGGTGGGATAGTTTACATGACTGCGGCACTGTCATAGATGGATCTAAATTGTTCAGGAACGGCAGGCAGGGAAGAAGAGGAGAAGGAGTTGCTTTTTATATAAAAGAGCTTAATGATTGCTCAGAGCTCCAGTATGAAGCTGGAGACAGGCCTATTGAAAGTCTCTGGATTAAGGTTAGAGGGGAGAGCATCAAGGGTGATGTTGTGGCGGGGGTCTGCTATAGACCACCAGACCAGGAGGATGAGGTGGATGAAGCTTGTTTCAGACAGCTAACAGAAGTTTCCCAGTCACATGCTCTGGTTGTCATGCAGGACTTCCATCTGCTGGGAGGGCAATAAAGCAGTGAACAGGAAATCCAGGAAGTTTTTGGAGAGTGTCAGGGACAACTTCCTGGTGTAAGTTTTGGAGAGGCCAACTAGGGAACATGGTCTTCTTGACTTGGAAAGGAAAGGAAGGAAGAGCAGCAGTATAAGGACCTTGGACGTCAGAAAAGCAGACTTCGACAAGATCCCCGAGGAGGCCAGTTGGAAGGGGAAAGGAGTTGAGGAGAGTTGGTTGTACTTTAAAGAAACCTTATTGAGGGAATAGGAATGAATCATCCTGATGCACAGGAAGACTAGCAAGTATGGCAGAAGACCAGCTTGGCTTAGCAGGGAACTCTTCAGTGAGCTAAAACAAAAAGGAAGCTTAGAAGAAGTGGCAATTTGGACAAATGACTAGAGAGGAGTATAAGAGTATTGCTCGGGTAAGCAGAAAAGCTAAAGTGCAATTGGAGTTGCAGCTAGCAAGAGATGTGAAGGGCAACAAGAAGGATTTCTACAAGCATGTCAGAAACAAGAGAAAGGTCAGGGAAAGTGTGGATTCCTTACTGAATGGGGAAGGCAACCTAGTGACCAATGATGTGGAAAAGGCTGAAGTACTCAATCCCTTATTTATCTCAGATTTCACAGGCAAGGTCAGTTCCCAGACTACTGTACCTATCAGCCCAGTTCGGGGAGGAGGTGAGCAGCCAGCAGTGGCAAAAGAACAGGTTAGGGACTATTTAGAAAAGCTGGATGTGTACAACTCCATGGGGCCAGATGCGATGCACCCAAGGGTACTGAGGGAGTTGGCTGATGTGATGGCAGACCCACTGGTCATTTTCTTTGAAAACTGGTGGAAGTCAGGAATGGTCCCACATGACTGTAAAAGGGTAAATACAGTGCCCATCTTTAAGAAAGGGAAAAAGGAAGATCCAGGGAACTACAGCCCAGTCAGCCTCACTTCAGTCCCCGGAAAAATCAGGGAACAGATCCTCAAGGAATCCATTTCTAAGTACTTAAAGGAGAAGAAGGTGACTAGGAACAGTCAGCATGGATTCACCAAGGGGCAAGTCATGCCTGACCAACCTGTTTGCCTTCTATGATAAGATGACTGGCTCTGTGGATGTGGGAAGACAGGTGGATGTGGTGTACCCTGATTTTAGCAAAGCTTTTGATACAGTCTGCCATAGCATTCTTACAGGCAAGTTAAGGAAGTACAGGTTGGATGAATGGATGGTAAGGTGGATATAAAAATGGCTGGATGGTTGGGTTCAAAGGGTAGTTATCAATGGCTTGATGTCTAGTGGGCAGCCAATATCAAATGGAGTGCTCCAGCATTCAGTCCCAGGGTCAGTTTTGTTCAATATCTTATCAACGACCTGTAAGATGAGATGGTGTGCACCCTCGGAAGTTTGCAAATGACACCAAGCTGGGGGGGACTAGTGGATATGCTGGAGGGTAGGGCTAGGATTCAGAGTGACCTAGACAAATTGGAGGATTGGACCAAAAGAAATCTCATGAGGTTCAATAAGGCCAAGCACCAAGTCCTGCACTTAGGTCAGAACAATCCCATGCGTTGGTACAGACTGGGAGTGGACTGGTTAAGCAGCAGCTCTGCAGAAAAGGACCTGGGGGGTTACAGTAGGTATGAAGCTGAATATGAACCAACAATGTGTCCTTGTTGCAGAGAAGGCTAACAGCATACTGGGCTGCATTAATAGGCACATTGCCAAAGATTGAGGGAAATGATTCTTCACCTCTATTCAGCACTGGTGAGGCCACATCTGAAACGCTGTGTCCAGTGTTGGGCCCCCATCTATACAAAGGATTTGGACAAATTGGAGAGTCCAGCGGCGGGCAACAAAAACGATTAGGAACTGGGGCACATGACTTGTGAGAAGAGGTGAGGGAACTGGGCTTATGTAGTCGGGAAAAGAGGTGACTGAGGGGGGATTTAATAGCAGCCTTCAACTCCCTGAAGGGTGGTTGCAAAGAGGATGGAGCTGGACTGTTCTCAGTGGTGGCAGATGACAGAACAAGGAGCAACCGTCGCAAGTTGCAGCAAGGGCGGTTTCGATTAAATATTAGGAAAAATGCTGTCATGAGGAATGCAGTAAAGCATTGGAGCAGGTTACCCAGAGAGGTGGTCGAATCCCCACACTTGGAATTTTTTAAGACCCGGCTTGACAAACCTTGGCTGGCATGATCTAGTTGGGGATGGTCCTCCTTTGAGCAGGGGTTGGTCTACACGACCTGAGGTCCTTTCCAACCCTAATTTTTTATAAGTCTGTTATTCTAAGACTCCCTCCTTCATTTTTCATCTTTAATAATTCTTTCATCTCCATGTTTTTTTAATTCAGACTGGCCTGGAAGCACTAAAACACCAAGGATGTTTTGCAGATATTTTCCTATTCAGTTTTGGTAATATCATCGGGTCAGGTAACCTTGATAAAGATGTATTTCAGTTTGAGTTTGAATATGTAGCTCAGCTTTATTATTATGTATTTGAAGATAAACACATGGCACACTTGACAAAAATTGAAGACCATTAATACAGTATATTCCTTGTTGGAAGGACTGTTGACTGACCAGATCTGTAAGACTCCTTTCCTTTACTGCAGTCCGGGTCAGTTCTGTAAAGCTCAAGTAGGCTCCTTCCCTGCAGCCCTTGTTAAGTGCAGCTGACCCAGTTACAGTAATCAAGGCCAGGTGACCCCCAGTCCCTTCCCTGTGATTGATCCTGGAGCCGCATTTCAAGAACTTCTCCAGCCTTTGAGCCTTGTTGCACAACATGCTTGGCTTTGGTCTCTGAGGAGCTCTGGTCCTAGCAACATCTCTAGCTTTTGTGGTTCCTGACCCTGCTTTGGCTTGCTCTTGGACTTTGCAGTGTGGCTCATTCTTCAGATTTGGTAATTAGGTTTCTGATTTCTGGCTCCTGGCCCTACCTTGGCATTTCACTCCTGATTTGTGGCTTCTGACCCCTACTTCTGCAACTCCCAGTTCTACCCTCTTCCCACATGGCTGATGAGAGTTCAGGTATTGGTGTGATCCCCTCTCCATTACTTTGATATTGTCAGGATAATTTTTAAAAGGCAGTTTATCTGTGGGGGAAGTTTTATATAGTTGCTGGCTGTACTAGAATTTATTCATTCCACAGTTTTCAGGCTCCCCAATGCTCTTCTAAAATAGTGTGTGACTACTGAGAAAAACTGGTAGTAAAAGATTTCAGCCAAGTAGGTAAGCTTAGTAGTTAGTAGAGAACTATTGTGAAATCAAGGTAGGGGTTTTGCAGTTTAATATAAACTATGGTTGGTTTCAGAGAAGAATGCATTAACTTTGCTGTTATATCTGCCATACCATGGCCCAAATAGAGAATGTTTCAGAATAAATAATATACTACCTAAAGAAATTAAGTTTGTCATTTCCAGCTAATGATAATAAGAAATTCAACTTTGCGAACTGAGATTCTCTGTTGTCCAAGCTGAGTGCTTTCTTGGAAGTTGACCCATCTGATCTTGAAAGTCCTCTGGAAGGTGAGGTTTATGTGAGGAATTTCATGCAAAGAAGTGTGTCTTTCTCTTCTCATGGTTTCTCTCTGCTGTATGAGAAGATGAAAAGTTGAACAGGCTTGGCTTTGCCCTGGGTGAGACTTCAGGTAGTTGCTCCTGGTAGAGACCAACTAGATTTTAAGTTCAAAGTCTCTCCACTTCATGTGGTCCTGATTGTTTGCTGGCAATGTGGAGAGCTAGGGGAAGTGGATCACTCATTCATCAAAGGAAAACAGACTTTTCTAAGAGATGTCTCTCTTATGAGTTCTTCAGCTTTTGTGTAAAGGGATACTATTTGAAGGCACTGATGGACTGACCCTTGCTATGGTATCTGGTCACACTTTCCATAGATCAGGTCCAAGAATAAATGCATGGATCCAAGGACTGGACAAACATGGAATTTCCTTCCCAGAGGGAATTACTAGATTCCCAAATTGGAATGAAAAATTGAAAACTCTGATTATTTTTCAGAAAACCATATCACTTCTGAATATTTTCTGCATATTTTTGAATATTTTCAGAAAATAATTTCATGTTTCATATTATTGAAATGTTACCTTTTGATAAATTGCTATCAAACTGTGACAAAGATGAAATGTCAGGTTTGCAGGACCAGCACTTTCTGGTGAAATTTTTTCAGGTGGAAGCATATTGATTAGCTCTATTACCTCACTTACGGGACAAGCCTGTCAACTTTAAGACAGCAGCCTTCTTCATTCCTTCCCTCCTTCCAGTTTATCTATCCTTTTTTTTTTCTTCCCATTTCACTTTTTTGCTTCTATTCTTTTTGCCTTTTATCTTACCAAAAGTTGTAATAGGACTAAGAAAGTGTGTTAAATATTCCAGTTCTCTTTCTGCTAGTGTAATAAAGCAGCAGTGTGAGTGTTTTTTATCAGGCAAACCACTAGTAATGGGGGAAAAACACGTTTGTTTTATAAATGTCCCTGATTTGGTTGTCGAAGAACTTAAGCTTTGGACAAGTGGTGTGTCCTACTGTTTGGTGCACCCGACTAAGAGTCTGCTGACCTGGTTTCTGTTCCTTGCTCTGCTAGTCCTGGGTAAGTAATTCCATTTCTATGAATTTAGGATTCCCCATCTATAAAATGGAGAAACCCCAGCTGCCTTTGTAAGACACTCTATGATTAGCTTATGTCCAGTTGTATGTAGGGCAAGACCTTTTTCAACATTTTGCCAAGTGTTCCGCATTTGAAACAATAGACAGGATCTTCCTAACCAAAACAGTCGCACACACTTTTGCGCATGGCAAATCCAATCGCGCAGAGGCACAATGAGGACTGCTTTCTTGAAGCTGTGCTTATATCTATGTGGAGTACTTGAAAGGGCTTCAGAAGCAGTCTGCATGTGTTGGTGGCACACTGCACCTTTGTGTTTTGTGGTCCTGTGTCCAGCTCTTCAAGATTAACGCAACCTCTTTTTACTTTGGTTTGTCTTCTTTCCAGAGGAAGGAGTCTGTGAACAGACAGCTTTTACCAGAATCTCAAATGTTAAAAATAATTGCAAGTGCTCAAGTCACCACCCAAATCTTTCAGAAGACTTGAAAGACTACCAGATTACTGTTCAGGGTTTGGGTTCTGCTAGGCAATGGTATGGTCTGTGCCTGTATACTTCTTTTTTGAATGCCATTTGAGAAGGGAATAGCAGGTTAAGGAAGCAGCATAATAGGGGATGCTGTTTACTAGCCTTAGTTAGACAGTACAGACAAATGGAAATAGTAAGCTGTTCTGTCATCCACTATAATCCTTACTGTGTTCTCAGTGCCACATTAGAGGGTCTTGAAAAGACTTCTGGGAAATTTCCTGCAAAATATGCATTGGATGTGTTCATGCTATTATTACTGGTTAGCCAATGAGAGTGACCTCACCATAACAGTTTAAACCTCCAGACACAATGCTGGGGACTGTTGTGAAATTACTACTGGAATGGTTGAGAAACTGCAAATACAAGTGCTGAGGAACTTTTATTATCTATCAGAGATGGACAGACATAATCTTTTCCTCATAATGTTAAATCGTCAGCAGGAATGTAGTATTACATGTAGATTTGCACCTGGGGGAAGAGGGTACACAAATACAAGTGCTGGAGGAGAAGAGTATATGTTCATATCAACCAACATATAAAAACCTTGTTCATACTCTCATGTTATAGCTTATTTTACTCTTGTTGTAAGCTGGACTGAGCCTTTGTTGGGAAGGATGGCTTATAAATTAAATAAACAAGCAAATACATAAATAAGATTAACTTCCCAGTGAAAAGTAATAATTTCTGCTTCTCTGACTAGTGTCATATTGCCAAATGATGCCAAGAATATAGATTTTTTTTTTTGCACAAAAACACTTTATCTGAAAGAATGAAGATTGTCAATCATTATTTTTGATAAAAGAATGTCAGTTTTGACAACCTGAAAAAAAACCTCCCCTAAACAAACCAAAAAAAAAAAAAAAGAGTCCCCTCTCCTGTAATTTTTCATTTATAAATAGTAAGCTTCCCCCGCCCCCTTTTTTTTTTTCATTGAAAGGAAGGAAGAAAGTAGTCCTTCCCAAACTACCTTAATTAAAATAAAGCTTCAGGGAGAACTGGAATTTCCCAACAGGAAAATGTCTAAAGTGAATATTTCCCATGAGCAGTTTAAGATTTGTAACCCTTTTACCCATCCCCACCTTCCCCTAAAAAAAACCCGTAAAACACAGTTAATAGCAGCAGCAGCTGGCTCAGAAATGCCAAGAGGATAGTGAAGCCCTGCTCTGCAGTAGTTTCATTGTTATATGAGCCAAAAAGAAGGCAGCTTGACTTAATTCCAGCATGAGAGCACAGAGCTGGTGACTAGGGACCATACAGGAACGGGAAACCACATCTACTTGTTAGTAAATTGAGCGTCTTTGATCTCAAGGAAACTGAGAAAAGAAAATAGGTGTGGAAACCTATTATGCTGTGTGTTACTCATTTTTTTGCAACGTGAAACTATTTTAAAGGGTTGGAGAAGAGTGCAAACAGGCACTCGCAGTCTGCCTTTCACTGCAGCTCTCCATCACCCCAGCTCAGCCTCAGAATACAAATTCTGCCCCTCTGTCCTGCATTGAACTCCTGTCCCCGTTCAGCTGTTTCCCATCCCTCTTTTACCCAGAATGCTCTTATCTACAAATCTGTTCCCTTTCCCTGGGCAGAAACATGCCAGTTTTTGCCCCATCTCACTTAAGACCATCCTGGAGTGGTAGGGGAGGTGGTCATGTGTGCACTGTGCTATGCAACTAAAGTTCACACACTGGTCTTGATGAGTCTGGCATCTGGAGTTGCACTAAGAAACTATTTATTTTTACTTCAACAGCTTAAGCTTTCTGATTTACCTATAATCCTTACATTACACGTATAAGAATATACATCTTTTTCCTCTTAATTTATTCTTTGGTCTGACAAATTTGCATTTGAACAGGAAAGAGAGTCTCTATGTATGAACCAGAAACTTGATATCTGCTCATTAAATTAATACCCACTTAACATACCAACTTCCTCATGATGGTAAAATAGAGGAGTTACTCTAGAATTTTAATTGGTTTAATTTCTAGACTGTCAGGGTATTTAGTGAGCAATTGGCACTAATGTATTGAACCTCAGCATGATGCTATATTTTAATACTAGGTGATATAAATTATTTCCTGCCCCAAATGTTCTTTATATAGAAAACTAGAAAATAAGCCTAAAGATATGCATTTAATGGATTTCTAAATGTATCTTGAACAAGATAAAACTTCATATATGTTATTTCCACTTCCCTGTCTTGCCTCTTCCCCTTTTAAAAGACAAATCTTTGTGATTTTTTTGGGAGGGGAAGAAAAATGATTTGTGGTAAAACCATGATCCAGGATTTTTCAGAATTGAATGCAGATTTTTGAATGCCTTTAAGTGCCCATGCTGAGGTGCATGTAAAAGTACTTCATTTTTTTCAGGTGTTACTATTCAGTGCTATTGGAAAATCGGACCTGTGCATGGTACTCTCCAGATAATTACTCAGCATCACTGGTCACTTCTTAAATGTAGGCTAACAATGGCAATAACTAGGAATATAGGACTAAAAAGTAACCTTCAGGGCCATAGGGTCCAGAGCCTGACATTTTCAGGCAGGCAGTTCCAACAAATGCCTAAAACAGCCACTTCATACCCTTGCTCACAACTATAAGGAGCTCTTTAATTGAAATCCAGTACTGCAAAAAGAAATCCATCGTGGTCATTGGGAGGTGACTTGGTAAACACCTTTCTCCAATAAGAACAATACATCTTGATTAAGGAATCGCTTTGACTTTACGGTGACTAATGTTTGAGTCCTAGTGTGGCTCTGTACCAGAACA